AGTTCAGCAGTTCCAAAACATTTTTGCACATGTCAGATTTTCTCTATTTGTAGAGGTTTTCAAAATAATAAGCAAAACTTGCATTGTTCTAGCTATAGCCATGTCGGCCATCTTGGTTGGCAGGAGGTCATTGGACACATTTTAAAACTAGATACCCCAATGATGATTGTTGCCAAGTTTGGTAAAATTTTAATAGCCTTGTAGTTTGAGAGATTTTTGTAAAAGTTAACGGAAAACGACAACTGATGACCGACAACAGATGCCAAGTGATGAGAAAAGCTCACTTAGCCTTTTGGCCAGGTGAGCTTAAAACTTAACTATCGTATTCAAATTCATCTAGTTCAGCAGTTCCAAAAAAGTAGAGTAACAACAGCCTTTTTGTGAGAAAAATGGGATTTATAGTAATTCTTGGTACAACAACTATGAAGTGTGTGTTAATTTTTGAAGTTTTTGATGAAGCTTGAGCTAAGTGACGGCAATAATCAGAGTTCTGGTGATAATAAAATTATTTAAGGGTTTGTCAGCTGAAATAGCAACATTAGACATTAAGCAATGTCGGATCATCATATATCATAATTGTGCAAATTAGCAGTTGTGTCTTTGTATGTATAGCCATGTGTTTTGTCTTAGCCTGGATTTTGATGAACATGTCTAAGGTTGCTGTCTTATTGAAACTCCACATCTACATTTATTCAGATGCATCATGTGTGCGCTATAAAAGAGTTAAAATATGCAATACATGTAATTTAGAAATTGGGAAATTCAAAATAAGAACCAATTGTTTTTTTTACCAATTCATAGATTCTAGAATACTTTTGGCAGAGATGGTAAGATTTGTGAAATAAGTTATATTCTGGGTTTCTATAAATATACAAATACAATGTACACATAAATATAAAAAATCAAGTTTATTTCTTATGTTCCATAATACATTTTAAATTAAGACAATGAAAATTCACAATGATTAAATAAATATTTTAACAAATGAACAACACAAAATACATGCATAAATATTGACCGTCAACTAATGGTTGGAAATTGAAAAATGACATAAAAAGTATGTCTTCTTACTAAAATATAAATACAAAAAAAGATTATATGAACAACATAAAAAAGATAAATAATACACAGTCATATAAACAAAAAATACAAACAAGAGGAAAAAAGCAAATTCTTGGATCTCTTCACTAAACTATATTGTATATCGAGTTACACCTTATTATCGCCATTGGTTTTGTGCACAGTTCGACTGTTTAGGCCTCAGATGGGACAGTAAGTATTTCACTGTGTTCATAATTCCCATTCCATTGCATTGTATAATGCATTGAAATGATAAGTAAATTTTGTGGTGAACTGCCTACTGTGAATACTATATGGTATATGAGGCCTAGGGTAACTATTTAAAAGAGATACAGTTAATATCAATAAAATAAAAAAAAAAATACCATAAAACAACCAAAACAAAAAAACAATACTATTTGCTTGACAGTGTTTAAGACTTTTTCATATATTCATAACTCTCACTCCAATCAGTTTTATGTATAATGGAAACCTTAATGCCCCTTATGATTATAGATTATTTTCATGTATGTTTGCCAGTGATAACTTTACCTTCCATCGTTTGTCATGCTGTGTACAAATAGGAGGAAATACCCCATTTGAAATGAAATATATTTTAAATTATCTTTCCCCTGGCGCACTATACGGGAGATCAATTATATGATTTATTTTTATTCATGGGGTATTTATGGCAAGCTGTTTTACTATTTATTCTAACTTTAAGATATCTCATACAATATATAAGATATCTTAAATAATCAAGTTTTTATAAGATATCTAATAAACTTTATAGATATCTTATAAATATTTTTTATATAAGATATCTTATATACTTTATATCTCATATATTTTATAAGTTATCTTATTTAGTTTATAAGATATCTCATATAGTTTATAAGATATCTCATATAGTTTATAAGATATCTTATATAATTTATAAGATATAAAGAAAACTATATGAGATATCTTATAAAGTTTATATATATCTTGATGTTACTATAAGTAGCCGTTTTCTTTTTTTGATTTTGTGGGTCAAGGTTAACCTGAAATTTAGTGTTCAACTTAGTGAAAATTTCCTAAACGTATTTACACAAAAATTTTCAAAATCATGAATTAAGGAGGTACATACCACTACAGGGAGATAACTCTGTAAAAATCAGCCGAACGTTTTAATCACATTCTATTGTTAAGAAAATATTAAGCTTCTCAATGATCAAAATAAGTGTTTGTCAAACTGCTATATATCCAATAAAATTTATCCGATAAAGTGTGTGGTTCAAGTTTTTTTTAAATTTTTATATTTTTGTCAAAGGGTCAAAGTAAATATTTTGTCAAAATTTTATGGAAATTAAAACAGCAAAATTAATTTTAGTAAAGGTGTTTGGTACCACCTCAAGTATTCACAAACTACAATTTTTCCTTTATCCACGAAAGCAGGTACCCAAAATATAAGAAATCCACACTTTACTTAGACCATGGATATTTTCAACTTGTGCTAGCCACAATCTCATGCACCACTCCTGAATTGTGAAATCACTCCATTTAGTTTTTGGGGTTGGCATCTTTTGGTCCTCTCATATTTTCCAAGCTGCTGGTATAGGTAGAGATGTTAATATTTACATAAAAGAAATTAATACGCTATACATCTGTCAGATAAAAAAATGTATTGGGCAAAAAAATCTAGTCTATGATTAAAAATGAAAAAAAAAAAAATTTTGTTTTTAATTCTAATGTTACGTTCTTCTTTTGCTTTGGCAACAAAGCCATGTTCTAATTCGAATAGAACATGGGCTGCATGTGATTGATATCACAATTGAAATTGCAACATCAGTTGTCTTTTTAACAATGCTGGAGATCAAAATTGTGTTGGTGTTGCTCACTAGGAAATCAAATAAAATCGTTCTAAAAGTAAGTTTACTCGATCTGTTCATTTTTTATTCTGAAACTGTTGATTTTACATATCGTTTCAGCTTCATCAAATCAAAATGGCTTCCTTTTCATCTGTCAGATAAAAAAATGTATTGGGCAAAAAAATCTAGTCTATGATTAAAAATGAAAAAAAAAAAAAAATTTTGTTTTTAATTCTAATGTTACGTTCTTCTTTTGCTTTGGCAACAAAGCCATGTTCTAATTCGAATAGAACATGGGCTGCATGTGATTGATATCACAATTGAAATTGCAACATCAGTTGTCTTTTTAACAATGCTGGAGATCAAAATTGTGTTGGTGTTGCTCACTAGGAAATCAAATAAAATCGTTCTAAAAGTAAGTTTACTCGATCTGTTCATTTTTTATTCTGAAACTGTTGATTTTACATATCGTTTCAGCTTCATCAAATCAAAATGGCTTCCTTTTGAATGTGTTAATAGGGTCCACTTGGAAGTACAAAAGTTCTAAATTTTCCTATTAGAATCGAAATAATTCTATCATGCCATGCTTTATTCTCATTTTAACATTGGTATGCATTATATTTACACCTCACTAACGCTCATTATAAAGATATTGACAAATATAATGCATAACGATGTTAAAATGAGCATAGAGCATGGCATGAAAGAATTATTTCTTAAATGAAAAACATTAATTTTGTTAGCATATCATCAGCTATATGTTATGTCTGGTTGACCATGTCTGGTTGACCACAATGACCCTAAAGCCAGTAGCAAAGGGCAGACAATTTATTAATTTTTTTCAAATTCAGATGAAAATCAGATGCAATATCTATTAAAATTTTTTTATACAAGGTTGGTGTAGGAAATGCCAAAAACAATAACCTCCATGGAACTTGATTTGAATGTAAGAAAAAATAAAAACAAAATAAAACTAATATGAAGAAGTCAGAGGATACCCAAGGGGCAGTCAACACTGCAAAAAAAAAATACATACAATACTGTGGTAAAAAATGAAAAGACTAGATATGTTCGGACTACATCACAACATGAATGGACCCATCTACAAAATGACAGAAAGGTGAAGTAATTTTGTGAAAATAAGACAGGACAAAATAAAAGACAAAAAAATAATAAATTAAAACATTTATATAGAATGAAAAGACAAAGTCATTACTGAAAACCAGGGGATGATTATCTGGTGTACAGTAAAGGTATACAATTAGACAGACTATACAATTAGACAGAACCAGAAATGAAATTCAGAGAGCACTTTTCATTTAACCAAATCATCCATAAAATTAAACAACCTTTTTAACTTTATCATCACAACTGGTTAATTATTACCTGGCAAATTTCAAATAAAGTGCCATGATTTTAACCAACAAAATAATTTCCAAATGTTTTTGGATTTGTTTGGTTATTATTACAAAAAAATATATACATAGTACATAAATATATAAATTGATGTTAATCAAAGTACATTTAAAAACAAGAGATTCTAAAGATTTAAAAACTAAAATATCTAAAAAAAAAGATTCCATTGTCTATCACTAACATTTTATAGTATTTGCAAGCATGAATTTGTAATGTTCTACAAATATCTAATATGTTTTTTTAGGATAATTGTTTCACAACAAATACTAAAAGAGCATGTATTTTCCCAGGATCCAATTTTTAAGGTGTTGTCTAATAATGAACAAATATGTGATAATTACTATTGCAATTTCAAGAATTGTTGCTTACAAATAATGCTAAGTTTTTATATATATATTAGTGAAACCTATCCTGTTTCAATTTTCAAAATTATTAAAAGACATCAGAAAAATTTCTGCATTTACCGTACAATGTATATATTAGACCATACAAAATAGTTCTTTAACTTCAATTCTCTAAGCAGTTAAAAAAAAAAAAAAAACGCAAAAGGAAATGCATTTTTTTAGATGTTTTAAGATCACAAGAATACACATTCAATGTTAACAGTTTGTAAATAATTGTCCACAGACATCAATTGATAAATAAAAGCATAATCTTTGGTGGTCTTGAGTACTGGTAAAGTCATTTAGAGCCTTTCTTCTATTGCACTCAGGTTTTATATGTTCCATATATATGTAGTACAAATGCAATTTTGTGAAAACAGATCTGCAAAAAAAATTAATAAATAATGAACAAGAAAGTATTTTTCCGTTTGAATTGTTTTACACTAGTAATTTTTTGGGTACTTTATAGCTTGCTGTTCGGTGTGAGCCAATGCTTCGTGTTGAAGGCCGTACCTTGACCTATAATGGTTTACTTTTATAAATTGTAACTTGGATGGAGAGTTGTCTCATTGGCACTCATACCACATCTTCCTATATCTATATACAATACTTTAAAAAATACCAAGGATTGGTGTAAAGATATATTGACAAATTTATAACCTACAAAGGCTACATAATAAAAAAAAAAAGAGCAAAGAGCATAATATGAAATGAGTATTTCTTAAACAGGGCTTGATATAACATTTGTGAATATAAACTTGTTGAATCATCCCATAAATTTTATATATAATATAATGCCACAAATTCTGATTTTTGTTCCTGTTTATCTATAAAAAAAAATTGTGATTGTTCATGTTGTTGTTCAATGGAAAAAATTGTAAAGATTATCATTGGAATTTCAGGATATTCTGTAAACATTTAAAATATTTTTTTTTTATTTTTGGCAAAACCCTATTTGATTTTCAATTTTCACAAAAATAAAAATTACACAAAACAATCTGTATCTTACAACAATCAACTGTCAGTGGTATTTTTAAACTCTGAGTTAATTGAAATGTTCCTTTGTCAAAAAGTTGTCTTTTACTTCATGGTATTTATTTACCTATATTTACAAAGATGTTTACCACTACAGATTTTTCCATATTTTACACAGATTTTAAATGCAAAATACAGATTGCAGTTTTTATTCACGAATGTACAGTTTCTGGTTCATTTCAGAAATTTTTTTTCACCAAAGTGCTTAAATGAATGGTGTTAGAGACCACATATAAAGCGTGATAGAAATTTCAGCGGCATTAGAACACCTCTCATTAATCATCTGTTTTACTGATCTTACAAAGTATGTAACGAAAGGTAATTTAAAATTATGAAAAGATGTCAGCAACAAATGCAGGATTTTGCATCTAATTTTTCAAAATGTATGAGGACTGAGGGCACGTCCCCAGACCCCCAGACCCCCTAGCAAGGTCACGCTGCACTACTCATTAACTGGAACTACTACTGAAAAATACTTTAATAAAATGCTTCGCAGAGCGCAGCCCGATACGACTGCAGTGGTCGAACCCTGAACAGTTGGGGCAAATTTGGACACAATATTCAAGCTTGATACTATCTGAATTTTGATTGTGATCAAATGTTTGCCATAATATAGGTTTCTGGTCAAAGATTTTACAAATCTAATGCGCAATACTGTGCAATTGAAGATTTCTTCTTGAAATTTTTCAAAAATTTGAAATTTAAAAATGTTGAAAAAAAATATGAACCGATTAAAAAATATTGGAACTCCCCCCCCCCCCCCCCCTCCCCTTTCAAACTCTTTGAATCCTCCTTGAAGCATTAACCATCAAACTCAATCCCAGTCTTTCCTTTGTAGTATGGAACCTTGTAGTACAATATTAGAGAGATCCATACACTTAAACATAAGTTATTGTCTGGAAATTTTAAAAATGTTTGTTTTGGCTTCTTTTTTGCACCTAATTCCTGCATGTTTGGGGCAATTACCCCCAAACTCAATCCCAGCCTTCCCTTAGTGATATGGAACCTTGATGTACAATGTCAGAGAGATCCATAGACTTACACACAAGCCATTGTCTGGAAGCTACAAAAATGCTTGTTTTAGGCCCCTTTTTGGCCCTTAATTCCTAATCTGTTGACACCATAACCCCCAAAATGAATCCCAACCTTGTACTTGTGGTATTAAACTTTGTGGTACAAATTCAGAGCAATTGAAATACTTACACTCAAGTTATTATCCTGAAAGTAGAAAAATGCTTGTTTTGTGTCCCTTTTGGGCTCCTAATTCATAAACGGTTGGGACAATCATCTGCCAAATAAATCCCAATCTTCCTTTTATGGTATTGAACCTTCTTAAAAATTTTTATAGAGATCCATTCACTTAAACTAAAGTTATTGTTCGGAAATCAAATGTGTTTTCAGTTGACGACAATGCAAACGATGACGACATCATAGCACTATATGAACCCATACTAAATTTTGCAGTCTTATATAAGTTGCTATTCAAAAGATAATGGAAAATTAAGCGCATATTTTAAATTTAAATTTGCTTTCAAAATTTCCAATGGACTTTGCAACCATAAAAGCCTATTTAAATACATCATAAAACTAGGCATGGGGCGAAATACATTGCAATGTAATGCATTATATTACAATTACTTTGACCAAACCATGCATTATATTACAATTACAATTACATGCATTTATCAAAGTAATGCATTATATTACAATTACTTTTGCAAAGTAATGCCTTGAATTACACATTACATTTGAAAATTTTATTAAGTGAATAGAAAAATTAAACATCTTGAAAAACAACTAAAAGTCACAAAAGATTCTAGCATATGCAGCAACTGTTCCATGAATTGAATATAAGTATACATGTAAAAAGTCTATTTAATTCGGCTTTTACAATTTTAATTTAATGTTGACTTTACTTTTATAAATATACTCTTTGTTTTTTATTTTATTTTAAATGAAATATTTAATTACTGTGAATTACTTCCCTAATTATAAAATAAACATAGACCTTAATTAATGAACAATTGTCTAAATAGTGAAAACATTGATTGTAAAACAAACTAATTAGTGTTTTATAACAAAGTTTAATTATCTTTTATTTAAGCAAGACAAGATATTCTTTGATCTTATGACAACAATACAGTTATTAGATATAAGAAGATGTGGTATGAGTGCCAATGAGACAACTCTCCATCCAAGTCAAAATTTATAAAAGTAAACCATTATAGGTCACAGTACGGTCTTCAACAGGGAGCCTTGGCTCACACCGAACAGTAAGCTATAAAGGGCCCCAAAAAATTACTAGTGTAAACCAATTCAAACAGGAAAACCAACGGTCTAATCTATATAAAAAACGAGAAACGAGAAACACTTATGAACCACATCAACAAACGACAACTACTGAACATCAGATTCCTGACTTAGGACAGGTGCAAACAAATGCAGCGGGTTTAAACGTTTTAATGGTACCAAACCTTCACCCTTTTTCTGAAACAATAGTGTAACATCACAACATAGAAAGACACACTATAAAATATCAACTGAAATAGCTTAACTCAATCAAAGGACATATTAACACCATTGAACATACACTGAACAAATAAATTTGACCTATGACACAATGTAAATACAAAATAAATAAACTAAGGGAAGAATAATAAAAGTAACATGTTATATCGGTAAGAAATGTTAAACAATTAAAGAAAAACAATATGCTGAAACAAAAATACCATCCATTTGCAATAACTTTAAACACAGGTAAATGAAAATAATTTTATTGTTAGGTATACGTGTTCAGTACCAATAGAGAAAGGAAATATTTTTACAAAATAAATAATTTTGATGTTCATAGTACGAATGCTTTTCAAATATCAATCTTTTTATGCAGGAAAATGTATGAAATAAGATGAAATAAAGAATATATTCTCATGATTAACATATTCTTAGTTAATCAAGAAATCTTAAATTTGGTTTAGTTAAAACTCCAACAATATGTTAAAGATGTGGTATGTGAAAAAAGAAATGACATGTAATGCCATGTAATGCATGAAATTACACAACTTTTTGCTAAAGTAATGCATTATATTACAATTACATGTAATGCGCAAATTGCTGCATTACACATTACATGCAATTACTTGGAAAAATGTAATGCATTACCATGCATTTACAAATTTGCATTACCCCATGCATGTATAATAAAAGTATAAAAATAGAAAATGACATCATAGTCATGACTAAAATTAGAAAACCTTGATCAGAAAAATTTAATAGTAATATCTAAAAATAAAATTCCTTTGTCAACATTAAATATAACTTCAAAAAATAAATGTACAGCTAATCACCTCAAGAGATTACAACATTTCTTTATAACAAAACCATTGTAAGGGAGGTAACTCTAATGCAAAAAATAAACCAAACCCATTTAAATACATTATTAAAGTATTAAATAAAAAATTTAAATACATCATTAAAGTATTAAATAGAAAATGACACCATAGTCATGGCTAAAAATAGAAAACCTTGATCAGCAAAATTTAATAGTAATATCTAAAAGATAAATTCCTTCATCAAACCAAACCCATTTAAGTACATCATAAAAATATTAAATAGAAAATGAAATCCTAGTCATGGCTAAAAAAAAAGAAAACCTTGATCAGCAAAATTTAATAGTAATATCTAAAAATAAATTCCTTCATCAGCATTTAATATAAGTTCTAAAAATAGATTGACAGCTAATCACCTCAAAAGAATACAACATTTCTTTATAACAAAACCATTGAGAACTTAGGATTGGTTATAGGATTTGAATTTATACTCAATATTTTGCTTTTGTGCAATACACTATGCTGTTGCCAATTGCAGCCTCCCAAAAATTAAAAAAAATACCCTCCCCCTTTTTTTTTGATTGTGTGCAATACACTATGCTGTTGCATATTGACCCCCTCCAAAATAAAAAATAAAAAAAAAATTTGTTTTACCCCCCCTAATTTAAAAAAAAAAATAAAATATGAAGAAATTTTCTTTTTAATTTCTGAAATGAGAAAAAATTGTCCCCCTCCCACAATTTCTTTTTTACCCCCCCCCCCTTTTTTTCACCTCCCCCACCCTTTTTCCAAACAACCCCCCCAAAAAAAACTCAAACAAAACAAATTTTACCCCCCCCTTTAAAAAAATGTGTATCCCCCTTTTTTTGCAAAAAAAAAATATATGAAGAAATTTTCTTTTTAATTTCTAAAATATGAAATGAGAAAAAATTATCGCCCTTCCACAATTTCTTTTTTACCACCCCTTTTTTCACCCCCCCCCCCCCCACCCTTTTTCCAAACAAAAAATTCTTTCCCTCAAGATAAGGTCATAATATCAATTCAAATTTCCATTGGAGTTTGCAACCATAATTACCCATTTAAATACATCATAAAAGTCTTAAAATAGAAAATGACATACATAACCATGGCTAAAATCAATATTCCTTTATCATCATAAATTTAATAATAACTTCTTAAATTAAATTTACAGCTAATCACCCCTCAAGACAAATACAACATTCCTTTATACATAATTTAAAACATTGTTTGTGTTTGGATTACCTCCCTTACACTGCTTTTAAATTGTTTTAATTGTACATTAACCAGGAAACCCTTGTTTTTCCCCTTTTTTTCCCCTAATTCCTAAATGGTTTGAGCCATAACCCCCCTAACCATCCCTTTGTGGTATAGAAACTTGTGTATAAATTGAGTGAGATCCATACACTTAAACACAAGTTATTGTCTGGAAACTAAATAGATGCTTATTTGGGCCTCTTCTTGGCCCCTAATTCCTAAACTGTTAGGACCATAACCCCCAAAATCAATCCCAACCTTCCTTTTGTGGTTATAAACCTTGTGTTTAAATTTCATACATTTCTATTTACTTACACTTAAGTTATTGTACGGAAACCAAGTGTCTTCAGACGACGTGATACCAATATATGACCACAAAAAATGGTTAATACAGTAGGCGTAAGGTCACAGTTCCAAATTTTCACCAAGTACCAAAATTGCACACATTTAGCAAAAATAGCTGCGAAATCTTTTTCATAGAGTCTATAAACAATTTGTATCTTTATGATTTGACACTATGCACGTCTTTCAACATAGCTAAATATATACAAATATACACAAAATGTTCACAGTATTTATATTTGATGAATTTTTCACTGGAAAAAGTAAAATCTACAGAAATGTCGTCATGCGATGCCCACAAAAAGTTAATTTTTAAAAATGAGCAATTAAAATATGTTACAGGCATCCATTTTAAAAAGAAATTAATAATAAGCATGGATTATTGTCAAATTGTAAATATTTGGAAAAATAAAATAAAAATTCAGTTATTTGATTTTACAGATGTCAATTTAGGTATGAATGCAATTTGGGTACCGGTACTCGTGAGACATTACAGAATCATTGATCATTTGGAGGTCGGTTCAAACTCATTTTTCTATGATTCAATAGGGATTTAAACTGATTTAGTTTAACTGTATACATGTAGTAAATAAATAAGGATACATCTACAAAACAAATACAGAATGGAAACTTTTGTCTGGATCATAAATAAACGTAGGTGAAAAAACCTTCAAAATAGGTGCAAATTGGGTACACTCACTTTAAACACCTCTGTATTCAGTGGCAAAAAAATTATACAAAAATCTGCCAATATACTAAAGCAAACTTGTTTTGACGTTTTCTTAATAATTTAAAGGGACAAACACCAGCTTAATAAAACATCTTATCTAAAAATAAACCTACCATGCCTTATATTTTCTGAATACATTTCATCCATGCCATTCTGAGTTTATTGCATCCCAAGCACACCTTATCTCTTCAACGTTATTTTGATCCTACAACATGAAATGAGGATATATATGGTAATTGTGTTGGCAAACATATCTACTGTGGAGTCAATTATTTTGGTGGGTACCAATTTTCCTGGATTGAGGAAAACTTTCATTTCCGTGGATATTTGATTTGGTGGTTTTGCCAAAGTCTGCATACATTCCCGTAAAAAATTTGTAATTCGTTGGACATTTGAATTCATGGTTTCCAGGTAACCATGAAACCCATGAAAATTGGTATCCAACAAATAATAATGAGTCCGCAGTAAGTCATTTAGTTTAAAGAAACCATCAACCAGCCAACTTTAATAGTCATCAAATAGTTGATACTAAACATACAGGAAAATATTAATCAAGTCTTACGATTTCTGCAATGATTATTGGTAAGATTAAATGATATTGTAATGAATGACAGATTCAGGTATTTATTGTGTTTCATTATAATAACCTCCCGTATGGAGCAGGTGCATTTGACTCCAATCTTAATTAACTAGGATAGTCAATTTTCCTACCGAAGGTCTGTGATTATGGCTTCCTCCACCAATAAAAACTGACCGACACGATATAGCACAATAGTGGTGAAAGTTGCGTTAAACACCAATCAATCAATCAATCAATCAATCAATAATAATAATCTGAATGATAGGGCAGACAACTTATTTCTCAATTGTAATAGGCACTTACATTGCTTACATCATCATCATTAGAACCTTGCATTGGTGGATAGCTATATATAGTTGATTCATTGACATTAAGGATGTTTGCTACTCTGTTTCAAAATAACAAGCCTTTTAAAAGACTGTTATAAAATGATAGTATATAAATAAAGGAACTAAAAAAGCAGAAAAAAATAAAGGGTCAGTGTGCTTATTTTCGAGATATAAGACACTGAAAATTTGGTGGGAAATGATTCTCTCTAGATTTTTCATAATTTTAACATTGTTCGCTTTTCTCTTTTAAAAACTATGAAAAAATAACAAGATTTTTGTAAGATTTTCAAATATGGCTTTTAAAACTATATGTAAAAAAAATTTGAAAAGAAAAGTAAGGGTTAGTGGACAAAATTTTTTAATTGCTAAACATGGATAAAATCAGAGGGTTCCGAAAAATCTGGCAAAAATTCAAAAACAAGAGGAGCGAACATCCTTAATACCACATATCTTTAATTTCATATTCCATTACAACACTGCTCAATCAAAAAATAATAATTCTAATAAGTTTTATCAAAATATGTTGTAATTTAATGAAACAGCTTTTCATTAGACATCAGTTAATTATAACCTTATGCACTGTAATTGGATGAAATTATGCTCTGTCCATATTCTATTAGCTTTGTAATCATTCTCTCAATCCATTATAAATCAATGGTTGTCAAAGATAGCTTTGTCTGTTGAATATATACCTAACTGGATAATGAAAAAAAACCCAACTAATTTCTATGAATTCTTTACATGAAAAAGGACAACAGATAAAAAATACTTGTTAGTGCAATTTTGAAACTCATTTAGAAAATTTGATAAAAAATATATCAAATGCTTGAAACTCTGGATGATTATAGCATTAACACATGCATTTTTTTACATGAAGATAATTCTTACAAGATAGTCCATGTCATCTTCACTCAAGGTCCAATCAAAAACTTGCATATTTTCTTTGATTCTGTTGAGTTTGGAAGACTTGGGAATGGTAATATATCCATGCTGAACACTCCATCGTATTAAAACCTGTGCAGGTGTTTTATTGTATCTATAAAGAATTTATGTATTAATAATAGTTTGACAAAAATTAACAAGATTATTATATTTCATTTAAAAATTAAATCATTTATCATTTACGTAAATAAAAAATAGGGTTGGTGGGTCATCTTTTTTTTTATGATATTCACCTTAAAATATTTTACAATTATAGCCTTTATATGAGGTCGATACGAGGTTATATATTCTAAGAGAAGCATATTAACTTAGGGCTAACTCTGTGGTTGATATGCTTCTCTAGGTCAATATAACATCATATTGACCTCAACCAAAGGCTACAATTGTCAGTGGCGGATCCAGAGGGGGGCGTAGAGGGCGTACGCCCCCCCTTTGCTTGCACTTTTTTTTTTTCTTTTTTTTTTGATAAAATGATTAATCAGACTTGACTTCGTGAACTTTGCCATTTCCCGTGTATTTAATTTTATGCGACAATTCTTTACTTATAAAGATATTTTTCTCTCGTATTTACTGTAATATATTATTGATAATGTCAAAATCATGTGATTCGCTACGGTGGAGTTGACCAGTGCGTCGAAAAAACGTCACTCAGTCATTTTGAAATTCAAATTACAGTAACACATTGCTTAGGCTGAGGATGACAAGCATGATACCTTCAAAGCGAGTAAGGATCGAGCATGAACGTATCGACTTCTATTTCACAATTCCATCAAACAGAAAGTAATACTCTATTACACTAGATGAAGATCATGAAAAAAAAAGTTCCACAGCAATATAATTTACCTACGACAACATGTTTAACCCCACACGCCCCAGCCCATTAATAACATTGCTGAATAATAATCCCTAGTCAGTAAGCTCTAGATAGATTTAAAATCTAAGGTACGGACCTTTTGATTTGAGGGGGCGTGTAGTCTCAGATATTTTAGAGAAAAAATTCTGACCCTGATTTTTGCCTTAAACAAAAATTCTGGCCGTATCTGGATTGAAAACAATACCGGTAATCTTGTCCACTTTTTTGCTGTTAGAAACAAAGATTTTCAACAGAATTATTAAGTATTAAATGAACATGATGAATGAAAAACGGGCGTAATTTTTTTGGGGCCGGGGGTTTGCATGTTGTAAATCCCATATTTGACCGGAATGTCTGTTTCTCCGAACTGATATGCTGAATACCTTTTTCAAGGCCCGACTTCAACCTGCCTGCTCGGTGTGGCCTTTATGTCTCCATTTGTCGACCGTCATTCACAACTTCGTTGTCATTTCACTCTCACTCGTAGCCTTTGGTTGATTTGGAACCCCTCACTTCTCTTGTTGGGTGAAACATTTCAACCAAACATTTGGATAAAAATTGCTAGTTTGTCTTTGTTCGTGTCTGTTGTATTGTAAATTTCATTGAATGGCCGTATATCTTGTTTTCAACAAGAAATCTGTGAGGTTATGCTAACTAACCTTACAACAAACGAGAATTTTCCATGTCGATGTCCATTTTTTACTGACAGATCCCACATTAAATATATTAGTACATAGCTTTGGATCCATTGAATCATTTTATAATAGACAATTAATAGGGAAAATACGGCATCAAAAATGTCCAACCCTTACACTTTAACTATAAAATATACATGCCCCATGTCAGGAACCGTTAAAAAAGTGCATTTTACACTTATTTTATGTTTTTAGCCAAAAATAGGTCCTAAAAAACTTTACATACTCCGCCCCCCCTTTCCAAAATCCTGCATCCGCCCCCGATTGTTATATTATTAATCAACAACTAACACATGAACAATGTAAAATTGGGGATTTCTAGAATGTATTTTTTGTGACATGCTGTATGCCCTGTGCAATATGACGTTTTAGACCCGTGAAAAGCTAAACACAACAGTATTGCGTGCAAACTGAGTAAATACAAATGTACATGAGATCAAGTTTTAAAGAATCAAAAATCCTTAGAAATAATCAATTACTAATATGATATCTTAGCGTATGATTCTTAATGATACTCGTTTCACTTTTTCCCAGATAGTAAGTATTCTTCGTATAAATTTAAATGACACTCCTATCTCCGATGTATGTTAGGATGAAACAATTTAATGACTACAAATTAAATAACCAGATACTGTGAATTCATTTCTTTTCGTGGGTATCTATTTTTCGTGGATTGAGGAAAACTTGTATTTTTCGTGGATATTTGATATTTTGGTTTAACCAATCTCTGCATACAAAACATATGAAAAGTTTGTAATTCATTGAACATTTGAATTTGTGGTTCACTAGGACCCACGCAACTCACGAAAATTGGTCTCGAACGAATAATAATGAATCCACAGTACTGTAAATACAGGAATTATTGCGTGCACTTATTATTGGGATTTTCTTAAAATGTAAGAAAGTGCAAGATTAATTATTGCGATTTCTGAAAAATCAGCATACCAATACATGTTTCAAATTCGGAATGCTAGTTATTATTTCGATACACATCAAGTGACATTATTCCTATTAATAAACACCTCACAATTAATGGTCATGATAAACATGCTTTTGAGCAAATTGTGAAGTCAAAACTAACGCTCATGTTTGACTTGGAAGTTCTTGAAATTTCATTTCTAAAAAAATTAAAATATCTAAACTTTCATGAATGACCAACATAATTTTGAATTTGACTGTAAATTAAAAAAAAAATTTATAAGAAAATTAAATGATATCAAATTTACTGAGTAGTACAAAAAATAGGGGAATTATTGAAAATTGCATGAATTTATTTCATATATTTTATATTGACAGCTTAAAGAAATTCAATACAAATAACATAGATGCAGAATAACTTACTTTTTGGCAAGATCACAGATTTGTTGGTTCTTCAACATTTTGCTTTTCACTAAAGGGGAATAACCCATTACAGTTATGTTATACTTTTTACAATAATCAGTTATCTCCTTTGGCTGAAGCCATGGGTGCAGTTCAATCTGATTAAGTGATGGGATTGGTAATCCTGCATTTCTGAGACCTTCTAAGTGATGAATATTGAAATTGGAAACCCCAACTGACCTACAAAAAAAAAAACTATAAATATGTAAATCATTGGTGTTGATGGCAGAACTTTTGATTGTATCTTTTAAATTTTCTTTTTGGTTGACTCAGGGTGATTTAGTGGTTGGCATTGTTCATTGCTGAAAATCCAGTGTTTTCCATTCGGCATTTAAACCGGGTGTGCAGACCACCTTCTTTTGAAAGCCGACCACCTTTCCATTTTAGGAGGTGGTCGGCTTTTTTTCAAATTCCGGATTTTTTTTGGTTCCGCACCGTAAAAGTTTAGATTTTAATCGCGCCTCGCTGATTCGTTTTCATTGACAAAATGGCCGATTGTCAAATTTCAATGTTTTCTTTTATTAATCGGGGAAGAGAAAGGCAGATGACGATGGTGTTAAGGAAAATTCTAGGCCAAATTAGTCAACTTAAACAAATAGTTGTACTGAAATTGTTGAAATTGAAAAAACAAAGCATCAAAACAACGGAAAAGGCACGCAAGCAAGGATAAATATGAACAGGACTTAAAATTGTTAATCGTCACAGAGGAAGAACATGACTGTTCTGTGTGCCAAAAATACAGCACTAAAGCGAAGAACTAGACAGAAACTTGGATCGAAAGGCCATGTATTCGCAGGAGGAGGAATCCTGCAAAAGCCATCTGCTATCAAAGATGCACAAAACTATTAAATTTGTCAAATGAAAGGCTAGCAGTGATAGCAGAAGAACAAGGACTTCTATTTATTTTTGTTCAAATCCATTAAAAGTGAATACAATAGTAATACTTCTTTTTGTGACCCCTACCCACAGTACAAAAAAAACCCGGTTGGAAATGTTGAAAAAAAAACCCGGTTGCAAGTGTTTTTTTCAAAACACCCACCTTACCTTAGTGAAAAAAGGAGAACACTGAAATCTTATGTTGTCCTCTAGATGTCTATAGGTTTTTTTACAATGTGTTGCTGTTTCATTGATCTTTTCACATCTTTTTTTATTCCCTTACACGTTGCTCTGCATCTGGCAACAACTATGATATAATACTGTCTCTTCTTATGGAGGTTATATGTAGTCCTCAACTTTGTTCATTATATTAGCCTGTGAATGTATTTGAATTAACTTTAAATGCACTGACTTATCAAATAATTGAAAATACCAGTCAGAATTTTATTTTCCAAGTTTGATGAAAATCTACCAAGAATTTCAGTTTTCACCTTTTTGTAAAGTTTTTGACACCCAACATCCCTTCATCATGACACACTCACTTGAAATTTAAAATCTGTTTTATTTTAAGAAAATCTTTTGGATTAATCTTTAAAAAAAAAAGTTTATTGTAGTTTACTACAAAGTTGTGGTCAGACAGAAGTTGAAATTTAGTAAACATGTTCATTACTACCGTAGAAAGGCTTGTATAGTCCGCGGTTTTTTACCCTGGGAATGAAATTGATGGAAGGGGTGCAGACTATGCAGTACTATAGGATTTCATGACATTTTTTTCCAGTGTTGGGATACAATATTGAATGAGGTTTGACCAACGTCCGACAAGTAAACAGAAATTTCATGTGTTGTCAATGTTATACTGTATCTTTGATTACTCTTTGTATAATAAAAAAATTAAATTAACAATCTAACAATGTTGACTTAGTAATTTGCATAAAATTCAGCCTTTGATAAATGTCTGGTATGTTTCGGATTTGGTAAAATTTGTGTCATTACATCTTAACTGTGTACCTGAATCCTGAATATCAATGAACGATGCAACCTTGAATCATAAAATCATAATAGTCAAGTTGAAACCAAGTTACAATCTTCCCAAGATCGATGATTTTGTTTAATGTTATTCGCATGTGTAACAAGTAAACCACGATGCGCCATTTTAAAAGTGTGGAAGTAAAGTATCAACAATTTTCGTATTCTGACTTTTTGTGTATAACTCGAACTTATCGGCGTAAATAAATCAAAAACTGATATTTTTTAATTGTAAATCGTAACCATAAATACTGAAAGTGTAAACCGGAAAGTAATGGAATTTTTCATACGAAACTATATTTCCAGGTGAAAGGTCATATTGTGCAGGTGTGTCGTCTTGCATGTATGAGTTTACGGGTTTGTGTGTAACGCAATTAAATAACCATGTCAACTTTTGACAAGTGATGCATGTAATACAATAACTTGGGGCAGTTCTTCAAATCAATAAAAAGAAATGATAAGATTAAAGAGTTAAAATATTTTAATGAGGTCTTATCAATTTTTTTAAACATCAAACATAACAATACAAAGGTATATCAGAATATGATGCACTATTAAAGTTTATAATAAGATCAGACAATTTGTAATATAATATAATGCACTATTAAAGTTATGATAATACAATCTAGCTTAATGTCACAATAGCACTAAAATGTTTTAATGATTAAAAACCATCAAAAGATTATTTGCCTTCGTCACGGAATATGGCAAAGATGTCTCTCAAGGCAGCCAGTGGCATGTCGTCATCTTCATCTTCATCATAGTAGTAGATGTCTCTGTCATCTTCTAGTTCTTCATCTTCTTCACCTTCATCTTCTGTTGGTGGAGTGGAAGCTTGGACGTGTTCTTCCCATACCATGTCGTCTTCGGATCCATCAAGGGCATTAGAAATTGTGCATTTCTTGAAAGATCTGATGATGATTTGAGGGTCAAGTTCCTCCCATGCCTCTACTATCCAGGAACAGATGACTGGCATTTCTGGCTTGCGCATTCTACCAGTGTTGGTGAATGAATGGTCATCTCAGCTGATCCAGGCATTCCATTTCTGTCGAAGTGCGACCTTCCTTGGCTTGTTGATGCTTACGTCAAGGGGTTGTAAAATACTTGTCATACCACGTATTTTACCCATCGTCTGGTAATGACAATTCGAAGGTATGATTGTTAAAATTTAACATTTCTTTATATACCAAAAGGGATAAGCTTGGTTTTTACAGTCTGAGTTGAATTCATTTTCGATCTTAAATGTTTGATCTTTAATTTTCTTTTGTTTAATAGCATACCAAATATTTATTTTTAGAATGTTGAAAAGTTTATTGGCTTGGGCAAGCTACGACTTACAATGATATCAAAAGTGATAAGCCGATAGTTAAATGTACATGATTGAATTAATCAACATTAATAACATGCATACAGTTCTTACTTTCATTGTTTGGGACTTTAAATCAATTAGTAAAGAATGATATTCTGAAAGAAGATTTAATTGAGCAAATAAACAAATCTTTTGAAGACTGTTAAAATAGATTAAATACATATCTTTAAAGTTCTCTTTCACAAACTTATCATAATTTTATATTAATTATCGATCTTTTAACAACAATGATTACTTTCTTGCCGGTCTTTAAAAAAGATTCAAAACATATCTTTAACGATCCCATTCAAAAACTATTCATAAGTTTATACTAACTATCGATCTTTTTAACAACAATACTTACTATCTTGCCGATCTCACCATAAACCAAAAAAAAAAAATATAAAAAAATACCGCAAATTCGGCAGTTTCCGTCATTGTTCTCGGACCCGATCTTGTCAAAAGTTGTGGGGACTATACAAGCGAACTAGACTTTTTCCGCGATATTTGGGGATGGAAAGGGGGTGCAGACTATACACAAATGCGGACAATACACGGCCGTATACGGTATATGAAATTTTTTTAAATATATGCCAAATTAGGTTTTCATGGAAGTGTGAGCACATATCCTTGTGTACTTATACCTATCTGTAAATATGATGTTTAGTTGATTTTTGAATGGGATATATTTACCCTGAAAAGGGACATAATTCCTTATAGAGATTGTAACTAAGGACCTCAGTCATTAAAAGATATATTAACCAGATTCTAGATATCCAATGTAAGAATTTCTGACATTTTGAATTTTCCAAGTGACAAATACACTGGCACTGGTCAGTCTCTACCTAAAATCATAAGTATTTCAAACAACAGATAACCTGACCAAACCTTGTTTCTTCAGTTCCAACATAGCTTTGTAAGTCTCTACATTCCTTCCCTCTCTTGGTCCATGAATCAGAAACAGGTCTATATAATCTATATCTAACCTGAAATTACAAATCCCAAATGTATAAAACATCACAAATAAAACTCTCAAAACACAGGCCATGATAAACTTGATGAAAAGTTCTCATTTTGGGTGCAAAATGTTGCAGGTAGGTTGATTTTATTACAAGTTCAATTGCTAATTGACTCACTTGGCATTTGACTTATATGCCGATACAACAAGTATACAACATGAAGCAAATTAAAGTAACTATATATCACCATACTGCCCTAAACAATGAGCAAAACCGATACCATATAGTCAACTATAAAAGGCCCCAACATGACAAAATGTGAAACAATATAAAAAAAAAAAACACAAAGGGATTGATTTATGACAAAACAAAAAACAAATAATTCAGCAACCAACAGAAACCACTAAAATACATTTTCCTGACGTCACTTGGGACAATCACATATAGAATGTAGTTAGTTAAACATGTTTGTGAGCACTCAACCCTCTACCTAACCTGGGACAGTGTTGTAAGAGCACAACATAAGATCAAGGTCATTTCGCAAAACACTTGGTGAATTTTCAGAGAATGATAGTGATTTCAGGCATTTCATTACAAACATCTCAATATAAAAATATGAAGATGTGGTATGATTGCCTATGGGACGACTCTCCAACAGAGACCAAATGACAGAATTTAACAACTATAGGTCACTGTACTGCCTTCAACAATGAGCAAAACCCATTCTGCATAGTAAGCTATAAAAGGCCCTGAAATGACAAAATTTAATGTAAAACAATTCAAACGAGAAAACTAATGGCATGATTAATGTACAAAACAAGGAATGTAAACAATTATGATATACAGCAGCAACGACAACCACTGAATTACAGGCTCCTGACTTGGGACAGGCACAAACAGAATATAGCTTTTAAAACATGTTTGCTATGTATATTTGATAAGTATACTGGTATTTCAGAAATGTTTGTGATTATTGCTTTAAAAGCACTGGGATAAGTTTCAGGAAAAAAACAAACTTCAAATATTGTGTGTTAAAAATACAGCATTTCCTGAATTGCAATAAAAAATCTCACATTTTTTAACCATTGTTTCTAAAATGGCAAAAATAAATGGAGGCAAACTTTCTGCATTAACAGAATATCACAGTTATTCATTCAACAATGGCAAGATAAATGCTTAATTCTGTTTCCTTTCATGTACTGTAACTTTATTTTTTTCGCAAGTTTTACTTAGATACAAACAAAAGAAGCTAAAACCCTTCCATGACGTATTATTTCACATAAGAATCCTCTCTGAAGGTCAAGTCTACAAGTGTTGCTTAGTTCCAATAAAGGACTATAACTCTGTCTATTCAACATTTTTTTCCCTCTATACTCAGGTTTACAAATGAATATAAACAAAGGAATATAACATGAATAAATCATTATAGCTCCCTTTAATATGTTTTACCTAACTAAACTTCTCTGTAAACCCTGAATACAGGCATCATGTCCATTCTGCCATTGTTTGGTTACTATAAATAGATCTTTCCTATCTTTACCGCTTATAGCTATGCCTTTACCAACATCTTCCTCGTTTCTGCAATACATAAGTATTTTCCTTTATTTCAAACTTAATGAATGAATATAATTTGGAAATATTAACACTATAATGAGTAGACAATATCTTGGAAGACCATAACTGTTATTCAAAGGGTATTTACAAACAAGATAATGCCCTCCATGTCATGCAAAGAATACAAATTTTCAACCAGTAAATGACTGCCCAGCAAATATAAAAATCCCAACACAGTACAAATCAACATTATAAAATTCCAGACCAAATATTCAAACATTTCTTAATACAGAAGCCAGTTTGTAATAAAATTTACAGAAAGACAATTGCAGTATACCTGTCCACCAATTATGTTTGGGACAGTATGATATTCTTAGACTATTAATTGCTAGTACTTGAATTAAAGTTTGAAATTACCATCATAATCTTAAATGCAATCTGAAATATCTGATCATAACAAATTTGATGTCTTTTTAAGATTTTAAGTGAATTTTTTAGAGATATTTCTCTGGCCATGAATTCATTATTGTTCTGATTCATAGCCAATGACCAATCCAGTACTGTTTAGTGACTTTCTAGACAATTTAAACGTATTTGTTGTTCTCCGCGGATATTAAATACTAAATAAACTAGAGGCTCCAAGGGTGCCTGTGTCGTTCACGTGATATTATTGTTTACAATTGATGCATGAAATAATGCAACCATTATACTTTTTGCTTTAGTTTCAGAGATATAAGACAAAAACTGCATTTTACCCCTATGTTCAATTTTTAGCCATGTCGGGCCATGTTGGTTGGCAGGCAGGGTCATCGGACACATTTTTTAAACTAGATACCCTAATGATGATTGTGGCCAAGTTTGGTTAAATTTGTCTCAGTAGTTTCAGAGGAGAAGTATTTTGTAAAAGATTACAAAAATTTACAAAAAATTGTTAAAAATTGACTTTAAAGGGCAATAACTCCTTAAGAGGTCAATCAACAATTTTGGTCACGTTGACTTATTTGTAGAACTTACTTTGCTGAACATTATTGTTGTTTACAGTTTATCTCTATCTATAATAATATTCAAGATAATAACCAATAAAATGCTTCGCTGGGCGCAGCTTGATACGACCACAGAGGTCGAACCCTGAACAGTTGGGGCAAGTATGGACACAACATTCAAGCTTGATACAGCTCTGAATTTGGATTGTGATTAAATATTTGACACAGCATAGGATTCTGACACAAAAAGAATGTGGTCTAAGAACTTGAATTTTTTTAATTTACCTATTATGGTCCAATGTCCAAAATCAAAATACATGGTAAGATTCAGCATATCAAAGAACCCCATATATTCAATTTTTGTTGAAATCAAACAAAGTTTAATTTTGGACCCCAACTTGGACAAACTTGAAAACTGGGTCCATAATCAAAAATCTAAACACATGTTTAGATTCAGCATATCAAAGAACCCCAAGAATTCAATTTTTGTTAAAATTAAACTAAGTTTAATTTTGGACCCTTTGGACCTTAATGTAGACCAATTTAAAAAATGCGACCAAAAATAAAAAATCTAAAAACACGGTTAGATTTGGCATATCAAAGAACCCCAATAATTCAATTTTTGATGAAATCAAACAAAGTTTAATTTTGGACCCTTTTGACCTCAATATGAACCAATTTGATAGCGGGCCCACAAATAAAAAATCTAAATACATGGTTAGATTCAGCATATCAAAGAAACCCATATATTCAATTTTTGTTGAAATCAAACAAAGTTTAATTTTGGACCCCAATTTGGACCAACTTGAAAACTGGGCCAAAAATCTAAAATCTAAATACATGTTTAGATTTAGCTTATCAAAGAACCCCATATATTCAATTTTTGTTGAAATCAAACAAAGTTTAATTTTGGACCCCAACTTGGACAAACTTGAAAACTGGGCCCATAATCAAAAATCTAAACACATGTTTAGATTCAGCATATCAAAGAACCCCAAGAATTCAATTTTTGTTAAAATCAAACTAAGTTTAATGTTGGATCCTTTGGACCTTAATGTAGACCAATTTAAAAAACAGGACCCAAAATTAAAAATCTAAATACACGGTTAGATTTGGCATATCAAAGAACCCCAAATAATTCAATTTCTGATGAAATCAAACAAAGTTTAATTTTGGACCCTTTTGACCTTAATATGAACCAATTTGATAGCGGGGTCCACAATTAAAAAATCTAAATACATGGTTAGATTCAGCATATCAAAGAACCCCATATATTCAATTTTTGTTGAAATCAAACAAAGTTTAATTTTGGACCCCAATTTGGACCAACTTGAAAACTGGGCCAAAAATCAAAAATCTAAATACATGTTTAGATTCAGCATATCAAAGAACCCCATATATTCAATTTTTGTTTAAATCAAACAAAGTTTAATTTTGGACTCTTTGGACCTTAATGTAGACCAATTTGAAAACTGGACCCAAAATAAAAAATCTAAATACACGGTTAGATTCGGCATAACAAATAAATAAATGTGGTCAAAGATTTTACAAATCTAATGCGCCATACTGTGCAAATAAAGATTACTTCTTGAAATTTTTCAATATTTGAAATTTGAAAAAAAAATAATATTTGAAGAATAATTCTTTTTAATTTCTGAAATCTGAAATAAGAAAAAAATGACCCCCCACAATTTCTTTTTACCCCCCCTCCCCTTTTTTTCCCCCAAAAAATTCTTTCCCTCAAGATATGGTCATAATCTCAATTCAAATTTCCAATGGAGTTTGCAACCATAATTACCCATTTAATTTTACCATAGTGCTAACTTAATCTATTTTATAATAGAATTTAAAATATAGTGTCAAATCTTTCATATGGATTTTTTTGTAAAAAAAAAGATGCAACATTTGCAGATATTTTTACTGGTCTTCCTTTATAAATATGCATTTCTTTAAACATAATTTAAAAGCAGTGTAAGGGAAGTAACCAAAACGTTGTATTTGGATTACCTCCCTTACACTGTTTTAAATTATCTTAATTGTTCATTAACCATTACTTTATACATAATTTAAAAGCAGTGTAAGGGAGATAATTTCAATGATGCATTTGATTTATCTCCCTTACACTGCTTTAAATTATGTTTTGTACTAAAGTATTTGTCCATTAACCAGGACAACCTTGTTTTTCCCCCTTTTTTGCCCCTAATTCCTAAACAGTTTGAGCCATAACCCCCCAAAGCAAATTCATACCATCCCTTTGTGGTATGGAAACTTGTAGTATAATTTCAGAGAGATCCATACACCGTTCCACAGTTATTGCCTGGAAACTAGAAAATGCTTATTTTTTGCCCCTTTTTGGTCCCTAATTCCTTAACTGTTGGTACCATAACCCCTAAAATCAATCCCCACCTTCCTTTTGTGGTATTGAACCTTATGGTAAAATTTCAGAGAGATCCATTCACTTAAACTAAAGTTAGAGTGCGAAAACCAATGTGTCTTCGGACGACGATACCGGACGACGACGACAACGACGACGCCAACGTCATACCAATATATGACCGCAAAAAATAATTTTTTGCGGTCTTATAAAAACTGCAAAATTTCCTTAAAATTACTAATTCAGGGGCAGCAACTCAACAACAGGTTGTCTGATTCATCTAAAAATTTCAGGGCAGATAGGTCTCAACCTGATGAACATTTTTACTTGCTGTCAGATTTACTCTAAATGCTTTAGTTTCAGAGATATAAGACAAAAACTGCATTTTACCCCTATGTTCTATTTTTAGCCATGGTCGCCATGTTGGTTGGCAGGCAGGGTCATCGGACACATTTTTTAAACTAGATACCCTAATGATGATTGTGGCCAAGTTTGGTTAAATTTGTCTCAGTAGTTTCAGAGGAGAAGATTTTTGTAAAAGATTACAAAAATTTACGAAAAATTGTTAAAAATTGACTTTAAAGGGCAATAACTCCTTAAGGGGTCAATCAACAATTTTGGTCATGTTGACTTATTTGTAGCACTTACTTTGCTGAACATTATTGTTGTTTACAGTTTATCTCTATCTATAATAATATTCAAGATAATAACCAAAAACTGCAAAATTTCCTTAAAATTACTAATTCAGGGGCAGCAACTCATGATCAACAACAGGTTGTCTTGATTCATCTGAAAATTTCAAGGCAGATAGGTCTCAACCTGATGAACATTTTTACCTGCTGTCAGATTTACTCTAAATGCTTTAGTTTCAGAGATATAAGCCAAAAACTGCATTTTACCCCTATGTTCTATTTTTAGCCATGGCGGCCATGTTGGTTGGCAGGTGGGGTTGTCGGACACCTTTTTTAAACTAAGTACCCCAATAATGATTTCGGCCAAGATTTACTCTAAATGCTTTAGTTTCAGTGATTTAAGCCAAAAACTGCATTTTACCCCTATGTTCTATTTTTAGCCATGGCCGCCATGTTGGTTGGCAGGCGGGGTTGTCGGACACATTTTTTAAACTAAATACCCCAATAATGATTTCAGCCAAGTTTGGTTAAATTTGGCCCAGTAGTTTCAGAGGAGAAGATTTTTGTAAAAGTTAGCGACGAAGGATGACGATGGCCAATGGACGACGGACAACGGACGCCAAGTGATCGGAAAAGCTCACTTGGCCTTTTAGGCCAGGTGAGCTAAAAATTATTTCTGATCTGTACTCAAGTTGCTGCAACAAATACATGCCAGAAAAAGTTAATATGACTTACTAATCTTTTAATTTGTTCAGTTTTGTATGATCAGTTCAAAGCAAAATGGCAGTTCTACTTCAAAAACTTGTTAAAAGTAATATAAGTAGTGAGATCTTGTCTTTTCAAGTTAAATAAAAAAAACATTAAAATTAATAGTGCTACCAAAAATGTGTATTATTTTGAATTTTGATATATTTTATCAGATGGTTTTTCTTTCAAGTAAGCTCAAACGTTTGTATTGCAATGCATCATTCCTTTAGGAAACTGCTTTATCCCAAATTATGTGAAAAAAAACTCTTCACTGAGGAATATTTCAGCAAAAAAGATGCCTGTTTCATCGGAATAGGAAAAGAGACATCAGTCGAACAGCAAAAAACATTTTTCTTAGGCATATCTCAATAGTTGTTCAATGCCTCAGAGGTCTTGTGGTATCGTGATTGCCTCGGGAGCAGACGGTCTTGGGTTGGAAACCAAGCAAGATCAAAACAAAGACTTCAAAATATAAATCTGACTCAGTGTGTAGGTCTTGTATAAAGTAGGGATTATATTCATATCACATTATCATGTTCTTGTCCTGAATATGCATTTGAAGCTAAACAACCATCCAGTCATCAAAAGTTGTTTAGTTTTTTTTTAAAAGAAAGGATACTCTATATGTTTTACCCATATCTCTGAGCAGTATCAATCATTCTGTATCCCTGTTCAATGGCATATGAAACTGCTTGTGAACACTCATTTGTCCATGCTGTTCCCAGACCAAGCAGAGGCATTGCAACTCCATCGTTTAAATTGATAATAGAGTCAATACTGGTTGCCATGGTAACCATTTCTTCCAAGCTGAATGTCTAAAATAAAGAAAAGACAAATTATAGGGGAGATAATTATACTTTCTGTAAGAATTTTCTTTCTTTTTTTCGTTGTACATTGTACTACCTTTTGTTTACTTTAATCTTGTTTTTTGTGATACTAATGCAATGCTATAACATTCTGTCTTTTTCAGTTGTCTCCATTTTCATGAATAATGGATATTATTTGATTATTTTCAAACTGGTTTGGTTAAAAAAAACTTGGCAGTCAGCATCATAAGAAGAGTAATGTGTTAAAACAAAGACAATGCAAAAAAAGTATAGCATCGGCTGAAAACATACACTTACATGACTTACTTACAGGTATTTCACTATGTCTTCCACAATTGCTAATTCTTTTGAATAGACATGGTTAAAATGAAATATATATGATAGCTGTCATATTATAGAATTGAAACAACTTCTTTTAGAGAACCGACTATTATATTTAATTTCTCCCCTTCCTGGAAAATATAAATGATCTACTGAAATATAGAGAAATGGTGAAAGACATAAAATTCCCTAGTAATTCTTAAGTAGAAATGTTATCTTATATTTGGATTTTGACACTACACATTGTCTTGTATTTAAGTATTTTTAGAACTACACCATTCCGAATAAATTCAACTATAATGCTGAAATTTTTTTTATATTAAAGCAATGAACAGTTTTTCTAATTTAAATTTCATCCACTGCTTTAATTAAAGTTACTACAATAAGTAATTTATACTACAAAGAAAGGTGAATAGCTGGTACAAAAAATGTACCAAATTATTGGTATGTTTATTTGACATATATATTTGAGTCAATAAATTCTGTTGAAAATGACTTTTGGGAAAGACCTAATTAGACTCTTCTATGAAGTTTGCATGAAAATGTAAAGTCTTTGACTTATTGATTGCACATTAATTCTTCTTCTTTTTAACTTTTTCTTGGGAATGCTTGTGTCAATCAGGAATGCGTTTAGTCATTTCAATATATTCGTGCTTTAATTGTTGACCATTTAGTTACTGTCTTGTTAGTTTTGTACATACACATATATATATATATATATATTATATGTGCATGATACTTTGTTCTATTTGTTTTGTACACATTATTATCATGTTAATATATTCAGTTAAAAGCTTGCCAGAGCTTATCGATGTTTCTATGTTTTATTCTATATACCATACAAAAAAAATACAAAAAAAAAGAATTTTGAAATAAACAGGTGTTACTTTGTTGCTGTCTCTATAACATATATCTATATAATGTATTCCTCACATCTCCTTTAATGAAAATTAGAAAAAAATAACACATCAAATAAGAAAAATTTTAAAACACATACTTTGGAGTACTTATTATACTGTGTGGTATTGCTCTGTACTATTCAGCTGATAAACATTCATCAACCTTTAATAATGCCATCAACATTCCAAGAGCCTTTCCCATTTCTGCAGGGAAAAAATAAAAAAGTAAAATATATTAACAATCTTTGTATTCTAACCAAAATGTTAAATATCACTCCTGCATTTTTAGATAGGAAATAAATGGAGAATGTGTGCATGGGACACAGATGATGCTCCTGCTTGCATATAATGTTATAAAGGGACATAACTCAACAACGGTAAAAGTGGTGCCACCCAAATTCAAACTTTATCTGAGTTTTGCGGTAATAAGCATTTCATTGAATTGTGTATAAGTTACATAACACGTGGTTGAGGCAAACTTAATTAAGTTAGATAACGGAAACGAAAAATACAGCAATTTTTCCATTTGTAAAGGGCATAACTCTAAAACGGTAAAAGTGACGCCATCCAAATTCATCCTTGATCTGTGTTTTGTGGAAATAAGCAGTATGTATAAGTTTCAGAACATTTGGATGAAGCAAACTAAAGTTAGAGAACCGAAACTAATTTTGGGACATATGTACATACAAGATGTACAGATGTACATACAGACAAGGATGACACTTAACGTCCCCTCCGCTGCAAAAACAAACAAAATAACAGTAGATAAAAGAGTGTCTTATTAATTTACATATGGTACAAATGGATATAGATAATAAAGATTCCTTATTATGACTAATATAAATGTATTTACTGTATATACCTGTATACTGTGTTCTATTACAATTTATTTATTCATTATTTTTATAAATAAAATATTGAAATATATATGCATTATGGTGGTCTCTTCAATCAAGAGCTTCTATGATATACATACACTTTTCAATTCTTTTTCAGAATTTGGGTTTATAATTTTGATAAAATTTTCATTCAAATTATTTGTATAATATATTTCTTCGATGTTACATGTATATTTAGATCCAATTTTGGTTTCTTGGAGACATTTGATCCAAAATGTACTAAACAAAAATTTTAGAAAATATCTCATTAGAAGGTAATCCATGGTTTTGTATATTTACCAGTTTATGGCAAATGAGTGTGCACTTATTCTTTTTTTTGGGGGGGGGGGGGGGGGGGGGGGGGTATTAAATTTTTTTTATATCCTTGTTGTTTAAAATAAAAGTTTCCCAGGTTGGCCATCTCTTGTTTTGGACAGTTCAAATTTCATTTTGATTTAGTAAAAATCTTCTTACTTATTTTTGAAATTAGTGTTTCAAAGATTATTCGATATTCCAATATTTTTTGATAACTCAGATGATATCAGTTTGTTAGACCATGAATTTTCTTTATTTGTGAGAGTTTTATCAATTTCATATGCAGCCCTGAGAATATCATGTAGATCACCAGACTGACTTCACCAGTCTCACTGAGACGAACATAGTATTTATACATAAGTTGATAACACTTTATGCTAGGATTAATGCACCCAATTCATATCGTACTGCTAATACATGTAAGTAGGACTTTCCATGAACCCCTTATAGATATAGGAAGGTGTGGTATGAGTGCCAATGAGACAACTCTCCATCCAAGTTACAATTTATAAAAGTAAACCATTATAGGTCAAGGTACGGCCTTCAACGCGGAGCATTGGCTCACACCGAACAGCAAGCTATAAAGGGCCCCAAAAAATTACTAGTGTAAAACCATTCAAACGGAAAAACCAACGGTCTAAGTATGTTTTTAAAATTGAGTTTTGTGTTTTTTCAAATTTACTTTTGTCTAGGTCTTCAAAATTTGATTTAATTCTGGAAATCCATACTTCTGATTCATAAGTTAAAATACGAATTACCATTGACACACACATGATTGAGTTGTATAACTGACATTCTTATTGTATGGAAGTTTAGACTTTAAGGCAAAATTTGCTTTTTAGTTTTATCTGAAAGATTTGACACTGCTGCTGTAAATTTTCCTGAACTATATATATGATGTTTTTAAGTATTTATAAATATCCACAATTACGTTTGCATTTAATTAAGCTATAATGAAAATCAAAATTTTCTTTATTTACTTTTTGTTTAGAAAAAACTAGACGTCTATGTCCTATAGAGTCAATGTTTCAGCTGTTTTATTGTGATCATATTGATAAAGAAATCTTAATTTAAAATTTAAGCCAGAAATAGGGGACAATATATTACAGGCAGGGGAAACATGGGTAATAACCTGTACAAATCATGTTTATTTACTTGAAGATCTAGATGTAGAATTGAGAATGGAAACGGGGAATATGTCAAAGAGACAAATATATACTTTACTTTGTAAGATTTTAATTCTTTTTTCATGCTTTTGATAATCTCCCCTAAATCTTCCTTAAAAATTGACTTAAACAAGTATTTTTTTTACAACCCCTTAATTCTCAACATTCATGACTTTCTGGAGGTCAAAATATGACTAAACATGAAATTTTTCGTGGTTTTCTAGTATTTTTTTAAATAGAGTTCAACCTATATAGCTATGATCTCAAGAACAAGGACATCTACTACACACAGTCATTTCAAGGTTAGGAATTTTTGTCAGATGTTCGGACTGCTTGGGTTTTTCCTACCATACAGGGTAGAATATTTTGCCTCATATCACTTTTCTTTTCCTAGAAGACTTCAATAGCTCATAAAAGGTCATTACCAAATTTAAAGCAGATTCTAGATTTCTTTTCCTACAATTTTAGACCTACAATGTAAATACAATGTAATTAAATGCCAATGCAAAATATAAGGAAAAAGTCTGAGTCAGCCTTTTCTCGTAATTTTTTTTTAATCAAATATATCTCGAAAAGGAGTTCCATCATACCTTTCAATATTTTAAGCTTTCAATATTTTAAGCGGTCCCCCAAACTAGACAAAATTTGTAGTGGAAGCGGTAAAAACTCTGGATTAACCATAAATGAATCTCCATACGGGGGGCCCAGGCATCCCCATAAATCTGCACCTGCACATTTCTTTAAATAATAACAACATGAACAATGAAACCTACCCAGAGGCTACATGTAGTTTTAATTGTAAACAAATCAACACAGTATGAACAGTCAGGGATATAACTCTATAAGGTTATTAGTGAAAAATAACACACACATATATATATATATATATTTGTTATTGTGGACTAAAAAATCAAAGAACGGTGATAACATATGTATGTTACATTTTTCAAAGGGCCAATATACATATCAGTTGTTTTGTTCAAATGTATACAAGCTCTATTGATATTATTATTGTATTTATGTATACTTAACTATAAAAAGATATAACAGTTCATAGTTTTTCAATCATGCATAGTACACCTATATTATTACAGAAAAAATATGCCTGTAATAACTAATAAAATGCTCCGCAGGGCGCAGCTTGATACGACCGCAGAGGTCGAACCCTGAACAGTTGGGGCAAGTATGGACACAACATTCAAGCTTGATACAGCTTTGCATTTGGATTGTGATTAAATATTTGACACAGCATAGGTTTCTGACACAGAATGAATGTGGTCTAAGAACTTAAAAATTTTAAATTGGACATTCACCTATTATGGTCCAATATCCAAAATCTAAATACATGGTTAGATTCAGCATATCAAAGAACCCCAAGAATTCAATTTTTGATGAAATCA